CATATAATATGGAGCCCAATGCGAATGTGCCCTTAGTGACAGCCAAAATCGCGCCACTCGACATACACCCGCTTTTCTCCGCGTTTCCTCCGTTTTCCGCCCTTGGTTGGTCAAGAGGAAAATGTATGCAAATAAAGCGTTAAAGTTCAAAATTCAAATGACTGCTCAAGGATGTGAGAGTGTCAAACACGTTGAGACACGTTGACTCATGTCAATATTGTTCACAATTTCACTTTCATGCAAGAAGACGACTCTAGCTCCACAATTTTTTAAGATATATGCACGAAAAGGAAAGAGGACGAAGAAAATGATTGGAGAATGTTTGAAAGAAGTGTTATTTCATTTTTGCAACATTTTTCATTGACTAATGGAAAAAAAACTTCCCACTGATTGCTTTTTGAATCAAGGAAATTTCCTTATTTCCTCTTCAGCCACCATAGCATATCAATAACCACCATCACTTTTTGCAAAGGTCCTTAGTTAAAATCACTATCACCTTTGTTCCCTTGTCTCTAGAGTATCAAACCTATGCTCCTAAGGTGAGCATTCCCTGGTAGAAGCAAGTAGAGACGAAGCCTCTTCGGTAATTTCCCTACATATCTGTGTTCTTAGTGGAACTTGTGTTGGGTTAGCCAAAAGGCTGACTCAGTATCTAATAAAAATGATACTTTGTTTTAACCTCAACATGAGACTCATCAAGACGTAAATTAGGGAAGACTTGGTGCAGCACAGACGGTACCACAAAGTTCGCTTGATGAAAGCTTTTGAAACTCGCGGACTTGTTTCCAGACTTCGATATTTTTGGAGCCGAATGTGAATTTTATTAGTTTTGTGTTGGAAAGGAAGTCTATACTTCGATTGGTTGGTCTGTTTTGTCATTGCATGTATCAGTGTGTTGTATCAGCTTTATTTCACGAATCTATTCTTACTAATTTTTTTAAAAGGTAGTGCGACTCTCTAGTAACTTTATGTCTATAATGTACTCGCATAAATTTGTTACTAGGATTTTCCACATGAAGTAATGTATGGTGAATCCATTTTTCTCCAGATCGAATCCTAGGTTTGTGAAGCTTTTTTCGCCATCTACCTCCATACTGCTAGTCACGAAGCCTTCATTTTTCTGCCCCACAATATTTATTTTGCAATTTGAAGCGTTTAGGTGTTAATTTCTGCAGTTCTGGAAAATGTGGGACTGGCACTCATTTTTCATCAAAATTGGCATCCCAGCGGGAGTGTCGTCTCGATACGCAGAGGTCTTTCGTCAAAACAGGTACTTTTTCCTTCTCTTGTGAACAAGTTCTCAAATATCAGTGGTGTGTTCTTTTGTCTTTTTTTTTTCTTGAAAATCGGTAAACAGTATTCGGAATGGCTTGGGATATTGAATTCATTTTTGGTACGAGCTAGAGTGTTTAGAGTTACGAAGGATATGCTTCCCGACCTTGATAAGGCTACTCTTACTGACTTGGGTGTAACAGCAGTTGGTGATCAGGTCATTTCAACAAGGTTAGACCAAATTTGACAATTATTGTTTAACCTCACAACTTCAGCTAGCTATCTTACGGAGTGCGAAAGATGCATCACTGGACATGGGATCTCTCACACCTTCTAAGCTCCGAGTGCGCATAAGCGGGCCTGGATCTAGTAAGCTCTCATTTGTATGATAACCTTCTCAACACATTTTGGGATCCAAATCTATTTGTGGTTTATTGATGGCTACATTTTGCTGAAATTTATGCTACTTTCCAGGTTTCTGCGCCTGTGATTGTGCATGTAGGGGATTTGATAG